CAGACACAAGAAAGCATACTTATAAATAACATAAAGAACTACATCCAAGAAATAAATAACAAACTAACAAGCATAGAAAGCAGAAATGACCAAGCAGAAGAAAGAATCTCAGAACTGCAAGATGAAAATATGGAATTAATCTAATTTATTAAAAATATAGAAAAAAACTTAGGAAGAAAGAACAAACTCTCCAAGATATGTGTGATTTTATCAATAAACCAAATCTACAACTGATTGGAATGACTAAAATTGAGAAAAAACAGAAAGCACCTTGGAACAAACATTCCATGAGGTTATTCAAGAATACAGCAATTGAAATAGATTAGAATACCTACCAGGGGATACCAAACAGAATTACTGCAGACTTATTTGCAGAAACACTACAGGTCAGAAGGAAATTGATTCCAATCTTTAATGTCCTCAAAGAAAAACAATTTCAATAAAAAGATTCCTACCTAGCCAAGCTAAGATTCATCAGCAATGAAGAATTAAAATATTTCACAGATATCCGGTCCCTAAGAGAATATGTTGCTTCCAAACCAGCTCTACAGGAGCTGCTTAAAAAGGTGCTATGCACAGAAGAAAAAGGAAACAAAAGAAAGACCATATGTTTCACAAGATCACAAATAAGCACAGAAGCAGTGGAACACACAGTGTAACTGCAAAAATGAAAATACACACATATGAACACAAAAGCTGAACAAAAACAAAACAGCCTTTCAGGAACATTATGACAGGGACACACTCTTCCATTTTAACAGTCAGCCTGAAGATGAATAGGCTAAATGAACCACTGAAAAGACACAGAATGACAAACTGGATAAAAACACACGACCCAGTAATTTGCTACCTCCAGGAAACTCATCTCACCACAAAGGGCACCCACAAACTCAAAGTTAGAGGCTGGAAAACAAACTGCCAGGTGAATGGATCAAAAAAGAAGGCAGGAATTGTGATTCTAATATCAGACAAAACAACCTTTACACTATTAAAAATGTAAAAAAAATATGGAAGGGCATGACATAATGATAAAAGTTTTGATCCATCAACTAGGAATATCCATTCTAAACATATATTCACCCAACACAGAAATACCAGCTTTTATAATGCATCTACTAACTAAAAAAAGGTATTTACTTTAACATTATCATAGCTGGGGACTTAAATACCCCATTAACAACCCTAGATAGATCGTCAAGGCAACAAAATCAACAATGAGATTCAGAACCTCAAACTTACATTTGACTATATGGATGTAATAGACACCTACAGAATACTCCATCCAACAACCATGGAATATACATTCTACTCATCACCATATGGAATGTACTTAAGATCAACAACATTCTTGGCCATAAATCAACATAAACAAATTTCACAAGATTGAAATACCACCATGCACCTTCTCAGACCACAGTGGCAAACAAATAAATATCACCAACAACAAAATTCTCCCCAAACCCACAAAGACATGGAAACTAAACAACAGGATACTGAACAACTCCTGGATCGACACAGAAATCAAAACAGAAATAAAAAAATTCCTGGAAACAAATGAAAGTAAATAAACAGCTTACCAAAATCTCTGGAATGCTATGTAAACAGTACTAAGAGAGGAATTATATCTCTATGAACACACATAAAGAAAATAGAAAGAGAACAATTTAATAGTCTACAAATTCACCTAAGGGTGTTGGAAAAGCAAGACCACCAACACCCTAACTTTAGCAGAAGAATCCAGATCACCAAAGATAAAAAAGTTCAAATGCAGGACATAGATGACAAAAGTACCATGGGACAAAAATCAATGAAACAAGAAGGTGGTTATTTGAAAAGATAAGCAAAATTGATGAATCCCTAGCCAGAATGACCAAGAAAAAGAGGAAAAAATCCCAAATAAACACAATCAGAAATGCAAAAGATCAAGTCTCAACTGATCCCAAAGAAATACAAAAGATTATCAGAGATTACTATGCACACCTGTATGAGAACAAACTCAATAACCTAAATGAAATGGAGGACTTCCTGACATCACACAATCTACCAAGGCTGAAACAAGAAGAAATTGAAATCCTAAATAGAACAATAACAACCCAGAAATTGACTTTGTCATAAGAAAATTACCTACTTTAAAAAGTCCCTAACTAGATGATTTTCCAGCAGAAATCTATAAAACATACAAGGAGGAGCAGATACAAATCCTATTGAAAGAATTTTGTGCAATCTAGAAAGATGGAACTCTCCTCAAATCATTTTATGAACCTACCATCACACTGATACCCAAACCGGGTAAGGATCCAACCAAGGTAGAAAACTATAGGCTAATATCCCTGATGAACATAAACACAAAAATTCTAAACAAGATTCTAGCAAATTGGATCCTACAACACATCTCAAAAATCAGTCACCATCACCAAGTAGGTTTCACTGCCAGGATGCAGAACTGGTTCAACATCTGCATGACCATAAATGTAATTAAATACATCAACAGATATAAAAACAAGAACCTCATGAGTATATCATTAGATGGAGAAAAACTTTTGATAAAATCCAGCATTGCTTCTTTATAAAAACCCTTGAACATCTAGGCATAAAGGGAACATACATCAAAATAGTAAGAGCCACCTATGATAAACCCACAGTCAGCATATTTTTAGATGAACAGAAATTGGTAGCATTTCCCCTGAAAACAAGACAAGGCTGCCCACTCTCATTCCTTCTTTTCAACATAGTGGTGGAAGTCCTAGCTAGAGCAATCAGACAAGAGACGGAAATCAGGGGTATCCAAATAGGAAAAGAGGAGGTCAACTTATGCCTCTTTGCTAATCCTATACCTCAAAACCCCAAGAGAATCTGTCAAAAACCTCCTTGACTAACAAAGGTCCTTGGCAAAGTCTCAGGGTACAAAATAAACATACAAAAGACATTTGCATGTTTCTACACCAGCAACAAGTAGACAGAGAACCAAATACAAAACACAATCCTATTAATAATAACCACAAAAAAATGAAAAACCTCGACATCTTCCTAACCAGAGAAGTGAAAGATATTTACAACAAAAACTACAAAGTACTGCTCAAAGAAATCAAAGACAACACAAGCAAATGGAAAAATATTCCATGCTCATGGATTGAAAGAATCAACATTGTTAAGATGTCCATCCTACCAAAGACAATCTACAGATTCAATGAAATAACCGTTAAATTACCAGCATCCTTCTTCTCAAACCTGGAGACAACACAGATATTCATATGGAAACATAAATGACCATGAATAGCCAAAACAATCCTCAGCAAAAGAATCAAAATGGAATGTATCACACTTCCAGACTTTAAACTCTATGATAAAGCCACAGTCATCAAAACAACAAGGTATTGGTACAAGAACAGTCATATAAACCCATGGAACAGGATAGAGATTTGGAAGAAAACCATATTTTTTCAACCATCTCATCTTCAACAAAACTTCCATCAACAACCAATGGGGAAAGTAGAAACTATTCAGTAAATGGTGCTGAGAAAACGTTAAGATGGCAAATTTTATGCTTTGCGTTATTTACCACAATAAAAAAAAAAACCCACTATGTAAATAAATTCAACAATTTGTTGACAAATTAATTATATATCTATCTAGTCATTCAACAATTCTATTCCTAAATATTAACTAGTGAAATAAAGTTATAAAACTGCCAAATCATTTATAAGAATGTTTATAGGAACATTTTTTTTTTTTTTTTGAGTTGGAGTCTCACTCTGTCTCCCAGACTGGAATGCAGTGGCCGCTCCCGGCCACCGCAGTCTCGCCTGCTGGGCTCCAGCGATCCTTCCACCTCAGCCTTCCAAGTAGCTGGAACTACAGGCGCATGCTACCACGCCCGGCTAATTTTTTGATTTATTGTAGAGATGAGGTCTCGCTGCCCAGGCGGGTCTCGAACCCGCGGGCTCAGGCAATCCACTCACCTCAGCCTCCCAAAGGCGCGGGATTACAGGCTGAGCCACCGAGCCCGGCTTGGAACTTCTTTTTATAACAGCAAAATACTGGAAACAGCTCTGGTATCAACAACAAGATAATGTCTTAATAAAAACATGTTCATACAATGGAATATTAGGCAGTGATATAAATGAAAAAAGTTATACAGCACAGGTGAAAGTGGAGGCAATTATTCATGAGTGAATCCAGACATAAAAAATTAGATACAGTATAATTCCATTCTAAAAAGTTCTAGAAGAGGCAAAGTACTATATGATGATGAGAAATAAAGCCAGTGGTTGTCTCTGGAGCTGTTACTTACAGGGAAGGGACAATTATCTTCTGACTGAATAAAGTGTGATTTAAGCAAATATGTGCCTTTTCAGAACTGATCCAACTGTGCACTTAAGATCTTTGCATTTAACTGCATGCAAATTATGCATTGGTAAAAAAATTATATATATTATTCTTTCATTTTTTTTAGCAACAGTATTAGTTAATATACCTGTCATTTCAGAAGAACATAACAAGGAAATAAAATTGATAAAGAACTTTTTAAGTAGCTCTATGTAAATTAGTACATTTCCACAAAATCAAACACTTTTTTTTAATCCTCCTACTCTCATCAGGACACCATAAAGGCACATCCTTGTTTAGCAAAATCAAACCAAAATATAAAAATTTCTGGCTAGAGAAAACATATTCACCAAATATTCTGATAAAATGTAATAGATATTTATAAAGCATACATGATACTTGAGTTGATGCTCATTTTTAAACAAATAATACTTATTCAATTATAAGTTGGAAAAGAAATGTAATATAATGAATACATTCTGCAACAAACATAGCATATTTTCCTTTTTCATAAAGGTTAGTAGAATACTTTGCAATATAGAAATGTTGATATTCAGGCAGAAATTCCAACTTCTATTAAGAAAACCAGCAATTAGTAGTTAAATGTAAATATAACGCTGCAAACACTGTATCCATTCTTCATAAATGCTTACATGCACAATCTTCATTCAATGGAAGTTTGAGGAAAGCAGGTGCTCTTTTTAAAAATGACACGGTTAGGGTCACTTCTTCACCAGCATTCCGAAGAACCTGAACCTAAAAGTGAAAAGAATACAAGTGTCATTTTGTTTATCATATTTATATTATTGCGAAGCCTTGAATTTATCTGTTGTCTTTTCCACCTTCTATTTTTCCCTAGTGGTCAGAAACATTTTATAAAAGATAGAGTGGATTAATTAACATTGCAGGAATACAACTTTCAATGTGACTCTCTTCTCACTCTTCTGTGGTCTTTTGCTCACACACAATGTGCACCTTACATTCATATTTGCTGAGGTCTTCCTGAGTTTATATGGTCTATATTAGACAATATGAAAGATCAAGAAGTCTACAAAATGACAGATATAACCCTCAAGCCACAGTATTTATTAATAAATATTTATTGAACATCTATTATGCACCATGAAATAGGCTAAGCTTTGAAGTATCTATTCTGCAGCATAAAATGAATTAAGAGTTAAAAAAATTCTAAAAGGAAAAAAAAAAACCTGATTCTTCTTCAAATATTGACCACAGTGTTAACTCATATTAAATGAAATTGATCCAGTTCACTCAAATCCTTCCTCACGAAATAAACAGGCATGACTGTCCTATTTTATAATTAATGTTTCCTTTTTCCTTCCCTGCAAATCTGTTATTATCAATAACAGGAGTTATTATATAATGGTGAAGTCTCCTATAAATTATTCTCAACACTTTTTGAAATATAGTCTAGTTTTGCCAGTTAAAATAATGTCAGTTTCTCCAAAACTCATTCAAGAAAAATATAAGCAACATGAAACTTTAACTTCTAAATACAAATTCAAAGAAGCCCCAAAAGTTAGCAAATTATTTATAGCAAACTTCCTTGGAAAAGATATAAATAAGTTTATAATTTAAACTACCACAAAAACCAAGGAAATAATTAAAAACAACTAGTCAAGAAGCAATAATAAATACGGAAATATGACTTCTTATACAGAAAATGTGTAGAGACATTGCTCAACCTCAAATCATTAAAGAAGTGGCTACAGCAAAACAATTTAGAATGACTTCTGATCCTGAGAAGATGGCACTCTTCCTTCTCCTCCCCAGTAAGTACAGTATAAACACTGAAAAAAAAAACCAAACAAACCCAAAACTCAAGAGACAACCAAAAGAGAACTCTGAGAGGTAAAAGAAAACAAAAAAAGGAGAACTGATCAGGTGTCTTAGGATTGCAGGAAAAGCACAGACGCAAGCAAGATGTCTTCTCTGCTCCTATCACACAGAGGAACACCAACCGGTCTGGCACTTTCTGACATGCAAAATAAAAATAGAAGGCAATCTAACTAGGCCCCTACTGCCTCTGAACTGAATTGAGCGAGGGTCTCATAATCCTGGGCAAGTGCACAAAAACCAATGAAAGAGACCTTGGGGACAATAGACAGCAAGCTGAATTCTTCCTCCTCCCTCCCCACAACTCCCTCCACCCCCCAAAAAGGGCAACCCTGTTTCAACATCCTATCGTCCTGCTTTCTCCACAGGCAAGGGTTAACCCCCCTAATGAGCACTAACCTAGAGATGCTCTTCTTCCCTACTAGAGAAACATCCCTCGACCTAATTTGTGGCAACAGACGGTCCAGTCTGGGAAACTCTTTCCATCTTTCTAACAACACCAGGAGGAAACAACGAGTGTCACAGTGCCACAAGACCAAAGGAGCACCAACCAGGCCTAAAACATATATTGCAAATGGAACACTGGCCCACAACCCTGTATGGCAAACAGTACATTTCCTCTTTAAAAAAAAACTCTTAAATAAGAGCCAGACGTAATGATCAGGATACAATAAAAATTACATGGCGTGTAAGAACCAGAAAAGGCACAATTTTAAAAAGATAGCCAAACAACAGCAATGAGACTAATGGGCTAATCACATAATGGAATTTTTTGACAAGAACTGTGAAACAAGAACTGTTTCAACAAGAAATTAAAAATTTTGTTATACTTAATGAGAAATTATGAAATTTCAGCAAGTAAATAAGTTATAAAAACTCCAAATAGAAAGTATAGAAGTAAAAAATTCAATAACATAAATCAAAGATACTTTCTGCATTAGCTCAATAACATAATGGAAATAATAGAAGGTAGAATTAATGAAAACGAGGGAAAAAACAACAGAATTCACTCACTCGAAACAATATAGAAGATAGTTAAAAATTTTTAAATGCTTCAGTACCTGAAGGATAAGAACAAAATATTGAAAGTTCATATCTTCTGAATCCCAAAGGAAAGGAAAAAGAAGAGTAATACTGATAGAGTATTTAAACAAATAATGTCTGAAAACTTCTCAAATTGGGTGACTATGAGTCAACAGATTTTAGAAGCTTAGGAAACCCTAAAGAATCCTGCCAAAGAAAGCTGCACTAAGACACATTATAATTAAAATTCTGCAAACAAAGTATCACAAAACAAACAAACACACAAACTTTTGAAATTCTCCAAAGCAGCCAAGGATAAAGGACATGTACAAACATTCTTAAAAATATTTAGCAAATCAAATTCAAAAATATAGTAAAAAGGTAATAAATACATCATTGTATATTGGAGTTTAATCCAGGAATACAAAATTGGTTTATCATTAGAAAATGAATTGGCACCTTTAACCATATTGGCAATATTGGCAATATGCAAAATCATACTGGCAATATGCAAAAGTCACATCTGATGAACACTTTGAGCAAAGTAATCCTACCAGAAGGAAACGTCCTCAAACTCACAAAGGGAACTTATGAAAGACTTACGGTTACAGCATTTCTAAATGTTGAACACCCGATGGCCTTAGATGTCTAAGTTTAAGAAAAAAATATAAAAAGTCTACTTCGAGTCAACAGTTCAGTGAAAGGATGAGGCAGAACCCTATAAAAAGATAGGCATCAAGATTCGAAAAGAAGAAACAACGTCTTCATCTGTCGATGACATGACGGCTTATAAAGGTAATGCAGTGGAATGTACCAGAAGAAGAGGAAGAAGGGGACGGAGAAGGGGGGTGGAGAGGAGCAGAGCAGTGAGAGGGGATGGGGGAGGGGAAGGGTGAGG